AAAATAATAATAATAAAAGCTAAATGAACACATACAGTACTGATGAAATTGTTCCCCCTGTATTGGTTGGTTGTATTATGTTTCTGAAATTTGAAGAGGAGAAATGGTCTGTAAGGGTTTTCTGTAAGGGTTTCAGAGCACCATCTGCTAGCCTGTTCCAATGGTCGTAGCAATTCATTTGCACTAAAGATGATGATGATAGCCTCTTGGAAGAAGTACGCTCAATTCTCCCATTTTCTCGTTCAACAACATTTGGGTTAGTGGAAGATAACGACATTTTTCTCTCATTCTACCACTCAACGCTATCGCGGTAAATGGGTGGAGCGGGGGAGGGTAGCGGGAGCGGGGAAGGGAGGTGTTTCATTGTCAAATAGAAGAGATAGGACCGGACCGGACCGGACCAGACCAGACCAGACCAGACCAAATCCTAGGTTGGTTACTTGTTATTTATGACAATTCTTGCACTTGTTCATTTCAGTTTCTCTTCTTTTTTTTTTGTTCTCATCTATAAAATGTGGACAGTTGAATGAGATGATTTTGTTTCAAATTTTTTTTTTATTTAATAATTTCACTTCTCCTTTTTATTTCATTTATATTTGTTGATGTGATTTTGTGAATTTTGTACAAATTGTCTACTTGAATGAATTAAATTTCTTTATGAAATTTTGTATTATTGTTTTATGATTGTTTTTTTGCTTTCTTTAATAATATCATTTGAAGAGGTTGATTAATGTAAGGATGAATGAAGCAATTGCTTATAAGCGTGATAGATAGGATTTCCGAGTTTTATTTCTCATTAACGGTCGTCATAATTTATATAAAATTCATTATTGCAAATAACAGTGTAAGTTATGCAATTTTATAGCACAATTGGAATTTTCGGGCAGGAAGGATTCAAATCATGTCGATGAATTGATAGCACACTAGCACGGTGTCAATGGTTTGAGGAAGCATCAGTTCAATTTTTTCTTTGATTTTTTCAAGTTTCGATTTAACTCGTTTATTGTTTCGGCGTCTACTCTCGCTCCTGCCTGTACTTAGCTAATGACCAAACGCATGGAGTAGTACAGTTTTATGGTAAGTTAAATATTCTTCATTTATCATTCCCATTTTTATTTTACTTCTGTAATTGTAGTATGGAGTTTTATTGGAATGTTGAGATTTGAGATTTGTTATTATTTCTTTGACCAACAGAATTAAATTGAACAACATATGATAATTCTCATATAGTATTCTTACTTTTCCATTCTTGCATGATTTCTTGAACCAGTTCTTTCAGTTTGTTGAATATGAGTTTTTTTTATTGAATATTGTCTCTCATTACCTCTTCACTGTTACCTACCGTTATTACCGAGAAGAACTGTTGTTGTTAGGTCACATCCCACATAGATCAGCTGTTTTTATCATGTTACACATGAATAATTCTATTTGAAAAGAGTTGTCAGTCGTTGTTAAATCATTCTGTATAGTTAAAAAGCAACATGTATGTCATGTTGGGTTAAGCAGCAGTAAAATTTTGTCTCATACATTTTGCGCCTCTTTCCTTTTTCGCTCCTCAGACTTTCCATTTCTAACTTAATTTATTATTTGCTAATGAATGCTGTAAATGCTAAATTTTATAAATGATAATGTACTTTCCATCAACTCATCTCATCTCATCTCAACATTTTTTTTTTCCAACAGGCATTATGCATTCTCTTTTAGTCAGATCAGAAAAAAAAGGATGTTAAAGAAACACACACACATACACATGCATTATTTTTTGAATAATTATGATGCTAACAAATGACCGGTTCATTTCTGATGATGTTTGAGATTGATAATAATTTCGAACTGATAAGACATAATGGTCCTAAAGAAATTTGATCTTTTTACAGCTTCTTTCTTCATTTCTCCATCATCAACTAACAAAAATGAAAAACACTCGAAAGATATGCTAGAAATCTTCACTTTTCGTCTTTTTTTTTTCATAAATACTTTATAGCTCGATTCATCTGTTTCACTTTTTTGACCTTCTCATGTGGGCTAATCTCTTACCATCCCATTCATAACATTTCCGATTGTTATTGTTGCTGTATTATTGATCAAGAAGAATCGAAGCATTTGGAAAATATTTCTTTAAGCTTTATACAAACCTTAAAATCTACTTTTTACCTTCATTCCTGAGTATATTAATCAGTGATTTAATTAAATGAGACAATTGAACATTGTTTGACTCTTGTGACATCTTTAAATCTTTAATATGATGGCGATTATGAGAGCTTTACTCTAGCTGTCCCGGTGTTTTATTATCTTCTATGACATAAAATCAATTTCGATTCAGAAATACCGATTAAATTCCTGGTGATTACAGTATGACGAAAAACTTATATTGCTTTAGGATGTTTACAAAATTGATGCTCTCTCCGTACCTACTAGCAACCGTGGAAATATTTTCGAAACTTGATTTCTGCTTTTTAAAATCTTTGCGTAATGATAGTTTTAGATTTTTATTTCCTATTTTTTCATTCATTTAAATCGAGCTTCTACTATACTGAAGAAATTTTTTCAGGCCTTTGTTCTAGCTGTCCCGGTGTTTTATTAATTGTGCTACGTATCCCAGTGCCGAAAAAAAAACGTATTGCTGTTTTTTCTATTCCTTCTCGGTGTATTATTTCATTCTGAACTAATCTCAAAGTGAACAACTGATATAAGTTTAGCCAATTCTTGCAGTTATTACCCGGTGATCGGATTGATTTTTTTCTCTGGTTTTACTTCAATAACTCATCCATCAAAGCCATTGTATAAATCTTCATAAAGTGTGAAAAAAAATTTGCATAAATCTACGAAATACCTTAGTCCTATTATTTCTATTTGCTTGATATTGGAGTTATTGTTGAGTGGCTATTTTTCCTTCTGTGCTATTCACATTCGTTGTATATTCATTTGCCTTAATGAGCAGTGGCCTTCGAAATTGTTCGAAAATTCTGAAAAGAAATGATAATTCAACTGCTGCGATAGCTACCACCTCAACTGCCGCTGCTATTAATGCAACTTCAAAGGCAGATCCGCGTGGTGTGCCGGTAATCAGTGAACCGAAAAAGTAAGCTATTATTTAATGCTTATGTATGATATAAATATTCAAAAAATGAAGAAATAAATAAATAAAACGTTTAAATTGGTAAAGTAGTCATAAGTCGTACGACGAATGTTTTTCAACCCATTTTCAATTATTTCTCCTGAGGGCTACAAATATTTGACGTGAGTTACACAATAAGCGTGTTGTTCCCTGAAGATTTTTTTTTCTTTTGAAAGAAAGTGATTCATCACGAAATATACTCTGTGTTTATCAACTGGGCAGTCTCTTGAGGTTCTGCTTCGGGCTTATTTTCTTTTTGTCTTGGAAAATTGAAGGGATAAACTTCTTATCCTCTAACACCAATAATTAGTCTTTTATCATCATGCATTGCTTTAACTTACAACTGTTTATTACGATAAATAAGATTTCAAATTTCAGTTAAGTTTCATATTCCGTAAAGTTTTATCTAAGGACAAAAAGATATTTCATATATCATTTTTACTTTCACTTCCTATGTCATTTCTTTAAATTGATCAATTTTTTTTTCAATTTCTTAGCTGATCGATTTTTTTGGAAGGAAATGATAATAAGACTATCAGCAAAATTTTCTCCTAAAGGTTTTTAATAAATTTAACAAATATTTAAAATCTCTATTATGATAGGCGTGGACGTAAACCTGCACTAGGTCGGTCAATACTGATTCCGGCAGCAGTTAAAGAAGGTGCGGTGAATGGTGATAATCATGATGGCAGTGCCGTAAAAGTAGATAGGATGGCAGAACGCGGTAAAACAGTGGCTACTTCCGTAATCGGCAAGTGTAATGATCAGCAGCAAACATCTACTATTAATGCTACAACTGCTACTACTACAATTGTTAGTAGCACTGCTAATAATACGGACGAAAGTGAATTGTTATTACCGAAAGTGTACGATCATATCACTCAGTCTACTCCATCCATTGCGGCAACCATGAATAAATCCGATGGTAAGTCTTACTTTTGATTTGTACCGAAAAATATCGAGATTTAATGAACCTAGTTCCATATGCTTAAACGAAAGATCGTTTTGCGCTCATAAATGTGCTAAATGATATCTGAATAGTTAGTAGTAATTCATTAAAAATGAATTAGTCATCGAAGCAAAATGGAAAGCTTCTGCTATAAGCTCAGCATTTAAATGATCAATTAAGGAAGCATACCTTTGGCATCTACTGATAGCGGTATTGATTCGTGCGTTGATGTGGATCACGAGATGAAAGATGTGGTAACATTGCGCGATGATGAAGAAGCTTCACCAAGTGAGAACTGTAGCGATGATATTGCTCCGGTACCACGGTCCAGAAGTTCTATTCATTATGATCGTATCGTTTGCGGCGATTGTCATGCTGAATTTTCGTTATCGACATTCGTGGAATTTGTTGAACATAAGGTATGTTCTATTGAAATATTTCTCATAGATATGTCCGATCAAATTCGTTATTGTTCGATAAATCATTAAACAAGATTCAGGAGATTATCGAAAGCATACCAAATAGTACCATGGAAAATCATCGAATTTATGACATATGTGATAATTCAAAACATTTTGCTAAGAATATTTTTGATTTGCATCATCAGCATTAAATTATTAACGAACATACTGTTACATAATCAAATATGTGCAAATTGTTATCTTTTAAGATTTCACGTTGTGATAGTAAACGGACGCCGTTAGACGAGTTCCTTGCTAATATATCACCAGCGCATCCATCCAGTGAAACTCTTCGACCCGGTCGTCGACGACTTCTGGTCAATTGTCGCCATCCATCTGCAGTAAGCACTTTATCCCTCAGCACATTGAACAGTTTATGCAATTTATTTGTATCTTTTATTTCTAAAACATAACTTATCATTTGCATTTGATACTGTTAATCTCATTACGCTGTTCTATATACTGCTATAACTAAATTAGTCATTTATATTGCAAGATATAACTCTAATTAGACGTAATTTTTAGGATTTCACTGATACGTGTTCTCGTTACATCCCGTCTTCATGTGGAAATGATCAGAATGCTTCATTCATGTTATCAGCTAGTGAAGATCAACAAAAACGTAACGATAGGGTTGATGCCACTACAGATACGGATACCTTAGGTAAGTAAATTACCCCACACTTTATTATTTATTCTTTATGGCGAGTAAAATTATGCAAATTTTGCAAATTATTATGCATTATAGGACAATTTTTTTATGGTATTGAAAGATATGCCCTATCTCCTTTGTATCTATTTTATTATTGCACGATTGATGAATTAGGCATTCTTTCATTTGCCTTTATTTGGCTTTGATATTGTTAAAACGAAGCAAAAAGGTGCAAATGTCATTACGATTCCCTAATTTGCATAAGTTGTTACTGTGGAAAAATACAGATTTCTTTCTTTTTTTGTCTCAAGTTATTGAGAGAAAAAAAAAACTTGCGTGTATAATTGAGAATGATATTTTCATTTTACTAAAAAGTTAATAATATCATAAATATAGAATACATTATAAATTTTGAGTTAAGCATTGAATAAAGTTATGGTTTTTTTTTTTTGAAGAGAGTGAATATTTTGTCTGCGGGTGAAATAGTCGATAGGGAGAAATACAGGAAGAGGAAATGAGTTGTCCACAAATGCTAGGAAGTGAATGTCAAAGTTATGTCATATGTATACATATACGTGTGTGTATGTGTGCGTGTGTGTGTGTGTGTGTATGTGTGTATGTGTATGTCTTATCTCTTTTTCCTAATTATATCACATCATCACTTTGAAAGTGAAATATTTCTCATTCAGTGAAATTGGTGTTTTGAAAATTAGTACACAATTTCTTAAATATGCAAGCAGTTAATTTTTTATTTTATAGTCTCTTAAAAAAACTTGTGATATCATTAAAAAAAGTATTAGTTTTTTTTCTTTAATAAAAAGTGAATTTCAATGCGAATTTTAATATTACTCAGATAAGACTTTAATGCTAACTCTTTGACTGAAAAGCATATATAATAATGATCCGGTTGCTTGATTTATCAAGCGGTCTGAAATAGTTAATCGATGAATAAAAAATTTACTTAGTGGAATTTAAGTTTTAGCTTAGATGATATTTTTTTCTTTCTTTCATATATCTTTATATCTTTATTGTAAATTTGCATCATTTGTCATTTCCTTTATACATCTTTTCATTGATAATTGATGGGTGTTCAATTACCAAAAGATGAAAATTTTCATATTTTGAAAAAAAAAAACTGCAGCTGCAGTAACTTGACCTTTCAGTAATACTGTACGAATAAGAGGACTGGTTGTGATTTAATCAAGGATGCAGAGACAAACTAGAGAAAAGGGAAAAGGAAGAATTGTTATTAATGTTAGCATTATTTGGACTAGTTTTTTGATTTATAAATTGAGGAAAAATATTTGTAAGAAAAATCCATGATGATGTTTTCTTCTCTTTTTTTATTATATATATTTTAACTGTTGGCTTTTTTTTGTTACTTTTTTTCTTGTATACCTATTCCAATTATTACTTTTTATTGCAGAAAAAATAATCTTATTGATCGGTAATTAATAATTTTATAAATGTTTTCTGAAATGACAATATTTTTGATCATTCCTCTTTATTGCAGTAAAACTCCTCTGATTACTGCTGATTGAACCTTTTTATTTATTATTTTTTTCTCTTTTAATACTTGAGCGATTGACTGGAAACTTTTCGGCCCATTTCAGTTTCTTTTGATACATTTTTTTTTTTCGTTCATAACATGCAGAAATAGACGAAGATGAATGGGATGTGATTAGCCATCATCATGAAAACAAGTTTTCCATTACCACTCGATCATAACGACCACAGCATCTCTCAAAAATGTTATCATTGAAAAGGACCGGATATTGCACAACAGACGATTCCATTTTGTTGAACGGACAGTTATATTCTCCATGACTAAATTACGAATTAAATTCATGAAAAAAAAGTGCACAAAGATTAAATAAAAGAAATACTAAGGGAAAAATTGGAATGTATTGATAAGTTATTAAATGCTATTTATTAAATGAGAGATAGCATTATTTGCCATTTTTTTTCTAAACTATCTATATATAGAATTACTTGTAAAAATTTTCCACAATAAATATTCATTTTCATTGAAATCTTAATTATAATTCAAATTTCAAAATACGAACAAAGATATTCATCGTTGATTGCAAAGATGAAAGAACAGAAGTAATGTAGCACAGATTGATTTAGGATATTAGCATTGAATATAATGTTTTTAGACATGATAATATGAAATAAAATAATTCCTCTCATTCATTCATTAAATATTAACACTTTTGTTTGTCTTCCTTTCTTCGATAAAATTTGATAAAAAGCCGTTTGTTATAGTAAATATTAGAAATTATTGTAGAAGATGGGAATAAATGAATTAATTATCACTTGTCCTCAGGCAAAAATAATAATGCCTAAGGAATATTAACTTATCATTTTTGTGGTTTTCACGAAACAATTATTTTCTCATGCATGTTATGCAAAAAAAAGATAAAAATTGACATTTTTTTTGATCTTTTTATCACCTCGGATGATTAAGCCGTAAAGGAATGTTTGTTTGATGATCATTATCATCTTCCTCTCTCTCTCTCTCTCTCTCTCTTTTTCTGTCAACTTAATAACCACTCAAAATATATTAAAGGATTGAATGAAAACTTTAGAAGAGTGAGAAAAGAAACGCCTTTGTTATGTTATCTGTTAGTTTTTTAAGTTTAAAAAATTACATAACATTCATAAAACATGCATTTATCACACTGAAAATATTTGCATGATATCTCATACTTATTAAACCAGCTGTGTATGGATTACCTGTACAGGTGTGTGTATGTCTGTCTGTGTGTGTGTGTGTGTGTGTTTGTGTGTATGCGTACTTCTGTTGGAAATTACAGTGATATTCCATTGCAGTATTTTCTTCCATATTCGGTTGCTCGTTCATTTTGCATTAGTGAGAAGATGAAAAGGAAAAGAAAAGAAAAACCTCTCTTAAGGAAATGCAATTTTTGTGAAATGGAAAGAATTTCGAAAGAGTCCAAGTTTTCTTTTATGGGTATATTTGATAATCGTTTGTTTTTAATTCTGCTGAGAAAAATGGAATTAAATAGTATGAGGAGATGAACAGTTGTAATATATTTCAAACTTTGCAAAAATTCAAGCTTTTTTTCATGTTTACCTTACAAACTATTTTATCGTTTTTAAGAGAGTAAATCAATTGTGGATATAGAAATATTTCATTTATATGCTTCAGTATAATTTTTCAAATTGTTCCCTTTCCATATCATTTCATTGAGAAGTAATGTTTTTAGATTTATAACACTTTTATAAGTTTAATTGCTTTAAAAATTTCTTGAATGCTTAGTTAAATTATGGATAAGGCAGTTATTAATGGAGGATCGGTGTTTTGCTGATTGTTTTGCGATATTGATTGCTGAACGAATAAGTGTACTTAAGTAATATGTAATAAAAATAAAAGTAACGTAAGTAATATGTAATAAACGTAATGTGTAATAAACGGGTGATTAGCAAACAAAGTACATTTTTTTAAAAAAAGAAAAATAAATAATTAATGAAATAATGGATATAAACAAAAATTGTCTCTTCAATTGTATTTATAATTATAAAAATATTATGGTTAGATTACTGTTGTGATGCTAGTTATTGTAATATCATATTTTTTGATAGATAATTTTCAATAAATTAGTTTGTAATCGGTCGATGGATCACGAAAGAGAATTACATATGGCTATTTTGTATATATGACAGTAATGATCATTGTGAAAATTAACATAAACCATTTTCAGATACAAAACAAAGTACTGTGTCTTTAAGTGGAGGAGGATCGTTAACTTGTCACTCTTGCAAACATGTCTGCAATGATGTTTGGAGTTTGCTGAAACATGTCTTCATCGCTCATGGCCTTCGTATCTGTGAGGTTAACCTTTTTTTCTTTTATTTTCATATGCATTGTAATTTTATCTCTTTTTTGAAATCTGGATTTCAACAAGTAGGCTTTAGGTAATAAAGAGAATTGTTTCAAATTCTGATAATCTTTACGATTATACAAATCCACCTATTAGTATTATTCAGTATTGGAATTTTTTCTTGCAGTATATTTTTTGTGCAATAAATGAAAAAATTATTTAGTGTTTTTATTTTAGTAATATAATATGTTTGCATTGCATATATTTTCAGGAGGAGATGCCATGTATGTCTCGAACGGGATTACCAAAATCGACGATAATTACCTCATCATTGTCTTCATCATCATCATCGTCGTTATTAGCACCAAAAACATCAGTGCATCCACCATCTCTTACGTTCGCAGGTCCATTCACCGCTTCCACTACAAAAAACAAACTAAACGGTTTGTATACAATTTTTTTTAGATTTCCAATGAAAAAAAGAATAATAGTTTTCGAAAAAAATAAAATAAAATAAATTCAAATTTTGCTCTTCAAAACTTGTCAACTAACAGCTATATGCAATCATTGGTATACAATTTAGGTAAAGGTGGCTTCAGTTTGAATGCATTTTGCTCCGAACGGTTAAAAGAGATCGCTGAGAAAGCAGGTATGCTTGCGCAATGTTGAATTACCTTGAACAAAATTTTTCAATTTTTTATTTTTTAATTCTTTAGTATTGAGTGCCACATTCATTACTGCAAGTATAGAAGAAGGAACATTGAAATATTTGAAAGTATACGGCAAGGCGTAGTAATTTTATACTTGTACTCTATTACATTTTAAACTTGATCATCTTTTTTCGTGCTAAATACATGATAATACGCAAATATAAAAATGCGTAACAATGACTTTCATAAAACTTAGAAAAATATGCTTTCTCTTCAGGCGAACCATTGACTGATTTACGTGATGTAGTAAGTCAAAGTACGATATTGTCTAGAACTAACGAACAGATAAAAGCTACCAGTATTAGAAGGTACCGAAAATTCAAATTTCTCTTTTATTTTTGTCCAATAGTATGATGATGTACTAAAGGTGCTACAGTTGAATAAATATTAATTACTGACAATTAATTAGGTAATAATTAGGTAATTCCAGAACACAGCAGTTAGAGAATACCGATGAAGAGCATTCAAGTAATGGTATCCCATCAGCGACTGTTTCAACCACACCATTTCTTCCTGGTTCAGCTCTCAATAACGTTTCCAGTTCACTTACCGCTGCTACATTAGCTGCGGTTGCTTTACAACAGCAACAACAACAACAGCAGCAGCAGCAGCAACAACAACAACAACAGCAACAGCAGCATCCTTCTTTGCAGGTTGAACTGTTCAGATCCATAAACCGATATTTACTTTGAGATGGTAGTTGAAGGAATTTGTATTTATATTTGTAAAAAATAAGTGGAAATAACCTTGTCAGAAAAAAGAAATGGTAAATAGCAATATATAAAAAATAGATCTTTTGCAATATGAATGAACGAACATGGGAGAATGCGGAATAAAAGGCAATATGAAACGACGAATCTTTAAACTATAAGATTATTTGAAAAAAAACACCAGTGCCAGCATTTAAAAAAATGTTACATTCATATCAATATTCCAAGTTATCTCTTTCTAACTTCAACTCATTTTAATTTTTAGAATTTATGGATGCAACCGAACATACCCAATATGCTGGCCTTGATGCAGGAATATTATGCACAATTCTCGTTGAATAATGCAGCATCTTATTTGCTTGGTGCTGGAAGTCCATCAGTTACCCCTACGAATAACAGTGGGAGTGCTTTTAATGCAATCACCAAAATCACAAGGTTTTTTTTGTCCAGATCTATGGAATGAAAAGTTTTATGGTTTATTATGATGCTATTGCATGAGTTGCACTATCATTTTTTGTAGTAATTTTTGGGTGGAAATTTTTAGATGGAGAAGGGAGAAAAAGATTCCTTATCTCTTATTATCAAACGTCAGTACCTTAGTTTTCGATTATTTGTCTTATAGCAGTCCTGAAGAACCGTCACCTGTAGCACCAAATTCTACAACACAGTCACTTGGATTAGCCGGTTTTGGTAGATCCGATACCACAACACAAGATCAATTGTCCAGTCCGGGTGTGAAGCAAGGACCTTGGAATGGTTTAGGAGCATTTGGGAGCAAAAGACAGCGCTCGTCCAATAACGGTTCTGAAACCCTGTCACCATCAACACCATCTGGAGCTCCGTTGCACAGTAAACTATCGAGGCTTGATGATGAGAGGTTTGTAACTGCGAGCTTCTTTTATACTTATAATCTTGAAATATATTGGAGTCTTTATGAGTAATAATTTTCTGGCTTCTTTAGATCTTTACTCGAACGAAATTGTTTTTATACAAGATCGGGCAAAGGTAGTGAAAGAAAAAGCAATTTATGATCAGAAAATAGATCTGTCAGAAAAGTCCTTTGGTTTCGAATAAAATTGCCGAAAATATTTCACGGAAAGATGTAGTAGTAAAAAGGAAATATGTTTTCCTCTCTTTCTTTCTTTTTTTTTTGTACAATCCGATTTCATTCTTATATGAACAGTTAATTTTCTTTGTGTTTTCATTTCAGCAATGAGGATACAAAATCGACCTTGCTAAATGTTGTAGATGGTGATGATCTAGCATTTGCTGAGCCAGCTGCACGTCGTGATACAAATGCTAAAAAGGATCGGTGCACATTTTGTTGCAAAGTTGGAAAATTTTCTATTTTAAAAAATTGAATTAGTACTGCAAAAAAGAAATTGCTTTAATTTGAAGATTTAATTTTGTAGATCAAACCGCATTATATTTTATGCTCGCATGGCTCTGATTTATGAATGCAAGATATTTTTAGAGTTTAAACTTCATTCAATATAAGAAGAATGAGATTGATAATTTATTTTATTGTTTTTTCTCTACGTCATTCCAGATTTGTTGAACTTAATTATGTTTTTTTTTTTGTTTCAAGGTCTTTACGAATCGTTCTAATCTGATTGTCCATTTACGAAGCCATACTGGAGAAAAGCCCTACAAATGTCGGCTTTGTTCGTATGCTTGCGCACAAAGTAGTAAATTGACTCGGCATATGCGAACTCATGGCCAACAGGGAAAGGTTTGTAATCGATTTATTAATTTCGGTATCAGACTGAGAATAATCTATGGGAATTTTGTTTGTTATTGTCTAATTGTTTGAAAATTACGTTGTCCTTTCGTATCTCATAAGATTTAATTCGATTTTTCAAATGTAAACTTTCCAAGGACTTTTTTTGTTTCAAGGAATTTCATTTATGGTCTGGAACTTCCAAAATGGAAAATGTCAGTTGTTTTTATGCCTTTTTATCAAAAAGAAATCTTGCAGCTGTAAAATGTATTTTTTTCTGCAGGAAACTTACCACTGCAACATTTGTCAAATGCCATTTTCGGTGCACTCGACACTTGAAAAACATATGCGAAAATGTGTAGTCGCAAACAATCAAAATCGTGAAAATAATCAGCAGGTTTCTCCGGTTGAAGCAGCAAATAGTTTGTTTTATTTATTTACAGCAGAAAACACTTAGTTTTCTTGATGCATCTCTCTTTCTTTCTCCCTTCCATCGTTCATGATAACCTTTGTTGCTAAGAATCCACTTGAAGGAGCACTTATTTTAATACTGTTAGCTCGATCATAGATTTGTGTTTTATTTCGAAATACTGAAATTATTGCATGTTTACACGAGAGATATTATTATCCTTGTTGATGTTTATTTAAATTGCAGCAATAGATAGTCCAAATAAGGTGGCCGCTGTGGCAACATCAACACTTGCTGATGCAACATCACTGCTTGCATTTTCCAATGTATCCTTAAATGGTTCACAATTACCGACAAATATCACTCAAAGCAACAAAATCGTTCTCAACTGGTTACAGGTTTAATTACTTCTACATTAGAATTTTTGGCTTTCATAATACATAGAAAAGTCCTTCAGCTTTCTGCATTTAGAGTTTACTTTTGGAATGATTTTGAAGTTATTTGCTAATAGAAAAGAGTAATTTTAGTTTTTTCTTTGTTTTCTTTTTTGTTTTTATCATCTTTTGTATTTTTAGGCAATGAACGTGAATCGAAATTCAGCTCCAGCTCCAACACCAACAAGTGGTACTGGTATTGGTTCTAGTGATGGACATAGTATTAATAGTAGTGGTATGGTGCTTCCTACTGGAAAAGAAGATAGCAGAGGTACAGGTGGTGCTACTGGAGGGGGTGAAGATGAGGAAATGATAGTTGAAGAATGTGAATCAATTTCTGATATGCAAAAAACTCTTCTCAAACAGGTACTAAGAACCATCTTATTCTTTTCATAAATTAATAATAACAGTAAACATATGATAGTGTATTATTTTTTCTTGCTTTTATTTTATTTTTAAAAATTTTAAGTTACATTAAGGAAGGAACGCTTTTCACTGATTTAGAAGAGATTAATTATTTTTAATATTTCCCGAAAACTGGGTCTTTGAAAAAGTGAATTTTTTGGATTTGAAACATCAATATTTGATGAGAAATAATAGAGTGGCAAAATGAGATTAATAGAACGTATTACCTCATACTTACTACTATTGTTTGATGTAGTGGACAATGTAATGTGTGACCTATCGATTTTATAATGGAGTCGGGATAAAGAATAATGAAACTAGAAAGTTCAAGTATGTCACGAGAAATTGTTAGATTATCTTTGAACCATCCTCATTTTTTTTTATGTAGGAATTCATCATTCAGCATTTGTCAATGTTATGGATTTGCATTTTATTTGTATAAACGGCATAATTTTTATCACTTTTTTTAGGAGACTGCCGCGTTGTCGTCATGATATCACTTATTATTTTGCACTCATGAAGAAACAATCAATTTAAATAACAATCTCTCTTTTCTTGGCTTCTTCCCAGGAGAACAAATACTTTCTCAACTGCATACTATCTTGTAAAACTTTTCTACTCACAGTACATTTAGTGCTGTCTCTTCATCCTTAGTACAATTTATTTAATATATAAAATTTATTTGCATATACATATATATGTATACACATAAATAAATTTGTATTTCTAACCTTAACTGCGAATGAGCTGTAAATGAATTCAGTTAATTAAAACGCAAAGTATTACGCCTACTACAGCAATGTGCAGTATTATCTGCTCGCTCATTATAATTGTAATATTCATGTATATAACTCTCCTTACACATCAGAGTAAATTAATTTCGTTATATAAGAATATCAGCTTATTTGTGGTTTAAATCTTTTTTTTTTAGAAATGATATATGGCCTTATATTGGTTACATAAGTCGTTTTCATATGGATTTTTACAATCAGTATCATTTTTGTAATTTTTTGTAGTTTTTCTTTTTTTTTCAAATCTGGTTGGTGAAAATTGTCCGGTTAGTTTTCATTTCAAAAGAGAATTTTTCGGTTATTTGTGTATCGTTTGAATATGGTATGCACCCGGTGTTTCATATTCATCATGCACATAATTCTTCTTCTATATTTCTGTTAATCATTGAAGCCATTTAATTGAAATTTTATCCGTATCACGAATCATCTTTCTTAAAGTATCATTTAATGCATCTTGTGCTATTTACCGGAGATTGTTTGAAAAAAATTCCCATTTTCCAAAGCGTGAATTAAACTGAAAATTTTTTTAAAGGCTTCTTTATCTCTATTTTTTTGTTCATCTGCAAGAAAATACTTCCTTAAAGTGATATATTTTTGCTGCCTCATGTATAGTAGAGCTGTGTGTTTTTTTTCGTTTGCTTCTTTTGGTCAACCGGTGGAAATATTTTAATTCTTTCTTTTCTTTTCTGTTTATTCATATGGAAAATGTGTTACATAAGTTGGATGCAGATTTTTTTGTCAACTCAGGGAAAATTTGTAGTATACCTTTAAATTTTTGTCACTTTTTGGATTCGATGAATTTTTTTTGACGGTACCATGAATCGCCTATTTAGTAATTCTTCTGAAAACTTGAGAACTTCTGAAGCCAAGTTAAACTAGATTCTGAATAAATCTGACAGTCTCTTAGATAGATAGGTCTCCGGAAGTCTGACCTCGTTATTTGTTATAAAACCGGAAATAAATGGAGCTTACTGAAATCGCCAATATCGAGAAATCGAAGTTCTGAATTCTAATCAGGTTTTTCTTACGCCTCCAATTAATTAACTTAATCAGTCTTGCCAGCTTTCGCAGTTGGCAGGATTGGAAGAAAAGATCCTTTTTTGTTATTTGATTAGATTCGCTAGTTTTCTTCTCTTTGTATATTTTAACCTTATACTATCTTTACTTGCTTTTCAGAGATTCTTCCGACTTCTTAGATCTTATATTTTGTTTTGAAAAAAAAAAAAGGATCTTTAATCAGTTCCATGGGTCAGAACGTGTAATTAAATGAGCAAAGATATGATACTAGGATTTAAGTGATTTTCACTTGGTTCTTTTCAGTGTTTAACGTGTGCTTCCATAACTCGTATCTATCCGATAACCCAATTGCTTTAGTAATTTGTTGTTAAAGATTCAAAGGTTAGGAGTAAGCAAGAATTTCTGGATAATTACTGGTCTCAAAATCTATTGATAGAGAGATCTGTTATCTTTTTCTATTTTGTTTTCTTTTTTTTTTCGTTGTGTTTAATTTTGTGGTCTTGAGAAAGAAAATCAGGCAGCCTTTTCTCGATTTCAAAATATTTTCATTTGTTCTATGTTTAGCATTACGATTAGCTCTATGTCCTCTTTTTTTCCTTCTCTCTCTCTTCCTCTCTCCATGTGTGCGTGTTTATCTGTGTATGTATTACAAAAATATTATACATGGTTTAAAATAATTATGTGTTTCAAAAATCCCGGTGATGTGTACAGCATTCTTCATGGTACTCTTTGTTTGTCGATTTAGGATGCTTCAGATTAATTATATATAAAGTGTGAGATATTGATGTTTTTGAAACAAACTTGCTGAGAATTTTTGAATCGTCAGTTTTAAAATAAGAGATATTCAGCGTTTCCATCTTTATTTTGTTTGTTTTTCTTTTCTTTTTGTTCTTCCTGACAACAGGGATATAATTCAGTAGTATCACTCAAAACATTTGAATGATACATGTTGTCTTGTAATTTTTGCAAATTTTCCGGACCATAATAAAGTTTCCAGATGTCATCATAAATGAAGGGAAGCGAATCAACTAATGTTATGATATTTGAATTAAAGGAATATTTAAAAATGAGGAAATTGAAAAGTTAAATTGGATTATGAGTTGGGCATTTGATTTTATTTCAATGCAGCTGATTTTTGATTAAAAACTCTGCGGAGAAATTTTTTTGTTTTACTAAACATTTGGCTTTATCAGTGAAGGTTAGTTAACTGCGCAAGTGTAAATGTCATTCATACGATTCATTGAAATAAAATGAAGTAAACCTCACATGAAATGAATTAGCAATATCCTGTTGGATCCATGATCAGTGATCCAATCAAAACATTTTTATCTCAATCCGAGTATTCATTATTTTTATGCAAACATACCGAATCGTTGATGATTCCGTTTTTATCTCATGGTTTTATCCGTAATGATCATGTAAAATCTGTAAGATATTGGGCAAAAATCTTCCTAAATATTATTGATCAAAATTTCTTAAAAATGAATTCAGGAATTCATATTTAAAAAAATGTTTAAACTTATAACTTCGTAAGCATAAAAAAGATGATGTTATTCTACAATTTCCAGATTTCATTTACTGTTTATATTTTAGCAAAATTATAAATAAATAATTATCAATGGCAAAATTATTAGAATTTTTTCATTTAAACAATTTTTAATTTGAAATAGTTTTTTCAATGATTTGTTGTGAAACAGATGTGCGCCATTCAGGTTGATTATGATATAATTTACTCAGACATTTCAACCGGATAATAGTAATTGTATCTGTGTAAAGAACTGAGAGAGTGATGAGTATTGTGAACAGTTCCAGAAAGTGTCATAAAACTAAACTTTTTATTAACTGAACTCAACAAGTGTCTTCATTTGAAGCCTGTAATTAATATTTAAATAAAGGTATATCCAGAATTAAAGATAACTCGAAAATAAAAGATCTAAATGATTTTGAGAGGTAGCTAACTTGATTGTTTCCAGAAAATTTGTAAATATATCATAATTGATGCATACCGCTTCAGGAAATCCAATATTGGCGATCATTTTTTTTTTCGCCGTACTGTTTTGTTGTACTAAGATGTCATTGGCATTTTGTAACAAAATATGATTACAAAGGTTAAAAATCAAACGGTATAATATGATGATGATAATTCATATCTTTCTTAATTATCTGTAATGCTACCAAAATTTTTTATTTATAATAATGAAATAAAATGCTTCCGAGCAAACGTAAGCAAGAAGAAAATGCCTACTGCGTGAAGAAATACATGAAAGTACGAGAAGAAGAAATTATCTTTTGAACTAAATCACTCAAATGATAACGCTATGCATATGACGAAAGGATGAAATTTATAATTTCTGATTATTTTATCAATATTCTTTTATTTATATATTACAATTGCATATATTTTCTGTTCTGGTAATAAGTGACAATGGAACTCGTTCAGTTTTCAAAAATACTTCACACTTAATTGACAACTACATGAAGAAGAGTTGAATTTCTTGTTCGGAAATTATCAACAATTCGAAATCATCTGTTTTGTTTTAAGTTTAGATTTAAGTGATTTAAATAAATGTAGGGATCTTCACTTGAATTAATCTCAGAATGAATTAAATACAATCAAATTTTGTTTACATTATTAACAAACGTCCGTGTTAATGATATGCTAACCATAATTTCAATGCTACTAGGCACAGCAATCTTTTCATTTTGCTCCAATCAGAGTAATCCACACAAGTGTGTCACCAATCCAGATAACAAACCGCAAGCACTCGCTCAATATTCTCAGATGGGTTGGTCGTTGAGGGTTTTAAGTTTCCCGAGGGAGGGGGTTGGGGAGAGTTATTGACTTTGCGCTATTGGATATATCGATCGTCCTAAAGAATGAGATTAAATTATACCATGCATATATATACTTTGTTTTAATATTTTGTGTCTTCAGGAGGTGATAGTGAAGAAAGAATGTCAGTAAAACTCGCCGAGTATGTTTTTTTATCCCATGTTTCTTTCTTCTTAACATATAGCTTTTTAACATTCGAATACATATTTTTCTATGTTCCTCTAGAAAATGATCTAGGTTTGTAGGAATTATGCATATGCATTACTTAAAAGTCAGGGCAAAATGAATATTCATATTTTGCATCTTTCTATCAGTCATGATTTTTATTTTGATTATAACGGAATAATTATATGGAATTCATAGATGCTTAGTATTTCAAATTCCATTAACTTCACTGTTCATTTATTTCTGCAATAAGTATTCATTGTCATTACAGCATACTTCCACCTCCGTCATCAACATCAGATGAATGGTCCTCTGTTCGTCGCGATCCATGGTTTCAAGGACGAGAAGTGAGTTCGTCAATTTTGTTGCATATTTGGCTAAACACGTAGTTAACTTGCTGCACCGAACAGCTGTCATATGCTTATTATATGAGCGCAAAGGCGATAGGAACCAGAATTTTTGGATAACTTCTCAAAGCACTACATAAATAAATATGATTGCTACTTCAGGATGTTTTGAAAGGCGATAGTATTGGAGCTGTGGTATTGAAAGAACCACCACCATATGGCAAAAGAAATAACTGGATACCGAGGAACGCGGAAGTAACTAGCTGTTCCTTACTATAGTTAATTGCAATATTAGTACTTCGATAAAGTTTTCTGCAGTTAAAGAAAACTGCTTTTTCCAA